TTGGAATTGTCTCAGCCTATGGCCACCAAAATAATGTACCCCCAGAATATAGAGTGTGAGCTCCCACAACATTTCCTCCCTTCAAGCAGGAGTCAGTGAGGATGTGTGCCTCAAATGCTTCAAAGGTTCCAAACCAGGACATTAATTTTCAAAGTCATGCTGCCTGGCCAGGTTTTAAGGGTTTGGCAGTACAAAGGTCACACAGCTGCATTCCCTCCGTTTCCTGCATGGAATTGGATTTTAAAAACCAAAGGGTGGGGGAGCTCTTTCTAGTTCACATTTGAAGGCAGTAGACAGTTTGCCTGATAAAAAGATAGCTATGCCAATACAGTATTCCCTCCCTATTATATCTCTCTTCCTGAAAGTAAATTGTTCACTTCCTGAGTGAGCTGGATGTGCAATGGTGGGCCTATTAGTATGTCATGTGAAGCCTCCCGGAGGAGAAGGCGGAGTGCAGGGTCGGCTGTGCCTTCCTCTCCTCATGGCTTGCTTCTCCTCAGGCTCTCTCAGCCCTGCATCCAGCTGCCAGCACGGGCTGCCCTGGGCACGGCAGCAGAAGCCCTCATTTCCTTGTTTCCTATGTCATTGCCTTTTCTGTGGTTACTGGCTGATGAGGGAAAATGCCCCACCCACACATATCAGATCAAAATTGACAAAGGAAATATTTTCCACACCCTTATTTACATGAGAAGTGTTTACTAACTTTTCATTTGTTTATTTTTCCTGTTATGAAATGTGGGCAATTTCCCCCTCTTTCTGCTGCTCCATCAACTTTCTGCAATTTGGGTAATTTGTGAAACACCACTCCTTGCTTTGCAAATCTCACGGGCTTCTGTCAACTAGCAATGGAAACCAGTGAAGGTAAGTGACAATCACAAATGGGATAGGGAAGAGCCAAAAGAGGCTGGCAGCTGCAGAAGGTGCTTTAGCAGCAGGACTTTAAAGCAAAACAAAATACCCTGGAAGTTCTTGCTGTCAAGGAGACTGTTACTAACCACCCTCTTTCAAAGGCAAAAATCACTCAACTTTTGGTTTGAGAACCTGATGAAAAGTCAGGCACAGCAAGGGAGTCCCTCTCTTCCCACTCCTCCTGCTGGTGTCCAGAGGACAGCCAGCACAGGAGCACTGGTGGGGGTGGGGTAGAACTGAATGTGGCAGGGGGGACAGAGCCAACATGGGGGAGGGGGCATCTCAGTGGGCTTCCTCCCGGAAAGGACCAGCTGCACTCCACCCCTGCCCACTGTGGCTGTGGGCAGGGCAGAAGGAGATGCACTGGGTTGTGTTTCCCTGGGAGGAGTCCTAGCCCAACACACCAGCCTCTCCCGCAGTCTTCCAAGCAATTGCTCTGGCCAGCTTGGTAGAAAGGAGGTACTTCCTGCCCCCAGTCTCCCTAGGAGGAGGCTGCCTTGGAGGCTGACCCATCCTGCCAGCCAGCATGGTTACTCTGAGATCTTGCTGGCTAGGATAGGGGAGAGGAAGCTCAGGGGTGATGGGAAGGGACAAGCCACTTGTAGCAGGCCAGCAGCAAGTGACTTGAGCTTTCCTCCTTGCCTAGTGGAGTTTCCACTCAAAGCAGGGGTGCCAAGCAGCTCGGCATGCCTTCCTCTCAGGGGAGGCAAGCAGAGCAGCTCATTCTTGCATGCCTCCTCAAGAGCCTTCTCAAGATCTGGCACAGTCGAGCAGCTTCTTTCCCCAGCTCCTGAAGAAGTGTTGAGCAAGTAGGCCACAGCTGAGCACAGCCAAGCAAGGTGCCACTTGGGCACTTTGGTAGCTGCCATGTGCTTGAGCCCCTTTATCAGAGCAGTAGGCCTTATTTGCTACTCTTGCCAAGGGGGGGGGGGCACAAGCTTAGGCTTGATCATGGCTTAGCATGTCATCTGGGTGTGGATGACAAGTTAAGCCACATGAGAGGTTTACTGAAGTTAAGCCACATGAGAGGTTTACTGAACCCTGCAACAAGTCATGGCTAGTTGATATAGTTTATTAGCCATTCCAGTGTGGTTTATAAAGCACCCACTGAGAAGCAGGGAGTTCAAACAACATGCTAAGCCTTAATAGTACAGCATGTTTTCATGTCATGTGAATTCAGCTGGATTGGCTTGTTGTGATGGGTAATAATAATGGCATAACAACAACTGGGCTGTTTTAGGGCTCTGTGTGGCTTGTTATGTACAGCAACAAAGCACCCTGACCAGGTTCCTACCTATGCTGCCCATACTAATCCTTCTACTAATTAGTCCCCAAGCAAGTAATCTTTACACATAGCAGTAAAAATGAGCCACTGTGACATATTCCTTTAGCTTCAGTCATGTAAACCAGCACATCTTGAAATGTGTGGAGAATATATTAGTGAGGTTATCCTTTTTGTCTTGGTTTTCAGGGTTTCACATCTTACTGGGAGGAGGGTATTCTCTTTGTTCTCATTAGTACATAGCTTGAGTCGTAAGATTAAAAAATACTGTGACATCCCTTCCAAGCATCCTCAGGCAACTGAAACTGATAATGCTCCTTTTAAAGCAATGTCAGTATGCCTTTTTAGCTTATTAAAAGGTCTTTCACTTGCTTATTTAAAGATATTTTGACTCATCTTATTAACCTAATACATTAAAAGAAAAGGTGTTAAGGAAAAAGAAAATACTAACAGAATTTTCTGAAAGTTGTGCACATCCTGATTTTTTCAGTTATAAATTGTCTCACACTTAGGAAAGGCAATTTCCTTCCTTCACTATCCCTAAAAGAGCACTTTCATAGAGATACTTGTAGCATCTACATTTATTTATACATATCCAATTTATGAGCTGGCTAACAGGCAGTCAGGAAATTCAAATGCTATAAAACTGTACACATACATAACCATTCTAAACTCAGTAAATGATTCTTCTGCATCAACTTTGGGAAACACTCAAGCTTGAATCTTTTTATATGCTTGTTCTTATGAGCTGCTTTGGGAATGCCAGTTAAAAAATAAGACATACAACGAAAAATAGAAGACATCCAAAGTCATTTTCTCACTGCCATCCTGTAGAAATTGTGCATGTTTAACGACAGTTCTGAGATGTGGGAAGGCAATGCAGCTGGACAGGGTGTACAATATGAGCTCTTTTAGATATTTTGACCATTATAACTACTACAACTCCCATTAGCCCTAACCAGTATTGCCAGTAGTACTCACCCCTGTGCTATGGAGTCCTCTGCATGGATCACTGGTCTGTTCATACTGGCACAGAACGATGATTATATCTCATTAGTCTTATTGGTGGCTCCGCCTAAACTCTTGTTCTACGAGTTTCTTCAGGAGTCTTCTTTTCCACCATGCGTTTTTGGAATCAGATGACACAGGCAGTATCTTCCTTCTTCTGTGCTGACCTTCCATACATACCCAAGGGTCATGTTTCTTCTGACATTTTGCTTTCTTTTCTCTTTAGATGAGAATTACAGTGTCAACGCAGAAAACTGCTGGAAATTCTTTGTCCACCAGATGGCTAACGTCAGCAAAGTGCACTGGTGTGAGTGGAGAGCAGTTAGCAGGTACTACTGAAGAGTTCAGGTTTATGCTGGATATCACATCAAGCCATTGTTTGTTATATTTGACACATTATTTATTCATTTAACATTAAACTTTAACCATTTTTGTTCGAATGTGGCCACATCTTCAACATCCATATCTGACACTGAATTTGACATTGAAATGTTGATGTTTGCCATTTCTGTTTAGTTGTTTTAAAACAAAGGCAAAAACTAATTTATCTTGAGACATATTGATTAAAGGTTAAAAGCAATAATAATTTTCCAGTATCATTACTAAGCACCTTTAGAGAAAGTCATCTGTTTGGAAGTGCTATCCTTTCGTTTAACTGGGAGAGCATAAAATAATATTTTTGCAAGCAAAGTTGATTTGGTCAAACATTTTGGTCCCCCGACATATTTTCATATCATCTACGTTGTGTCTGGCATCTCTTCTACTTTCCTCTGGTGAAATGATCAAATAGAGAACACCTTCAAATAGAAGAATGCCATATTTCCAAATTAGAAGAGTGTCCTCTATAAAGTAGGATATCAGTCCATTCACTTTCCTGAAAGTCAGTCAGTCATACTGTGTGTTCCATGTTTCATTCCCAGTTCATGAATAGATTTGATAGGGAGGCTGCATAGTCAGTCCTCCACGCAAATAAAGTGTATGCCTTAGGACAGCAAGGCTGATGAGAAAAATGTGCAGTGAAGTAGAAAGTTTGAAAACCACTGAGGTCTGTAGGACAAGGGTTCCCCAGAGGTCAAAACACCAACTTTTTTTTGGTGAGGATTACTTCCATCTAATGCTCATTCTGCTGGCTCTGTTCCTCTGTTTCTTCAACTCTTTATCCACTTCCATAGACCATACAGTGAACTGCGACGCTGCCTGGAAGACTGGGCTGATAAGCTGAACGTTGGCTATCCCAATACCTTGGCTGAGAACTACATTGTCTACAGTCACCGCTTGTACTTCCGGAACTGCACCATGGAACACCCACCCCTTCTGGACCCCCCTGAAAATGTTTTGCTCCCCCTCATCATAACTCCCATCTGTCTCATCCCTTTCCTGGTCATGCTTGTTGTGCTGAAGAGCAAGGATGGGGAGATGCAGTCATGAGTCCATACCTTCATTTACTGACATCGTAGTGCCCTCATGGCCTAGCACCTTGCAATGCAATGCTGTTGCATTTCTTACCTCTTGACTATCATGGTTTGCCCCCTCTCACTCTAAGATCACAACCTGGCATGAACCACTAGACTAGAAACTGAAGGTTTTGAATACTGAGAATATCAGAGCACCTCACAACTTGTATTAAATGAGATGGCACAGAAACCCTGTCCTCAGTCATACAAGTAAATGTAGTTACATGTTCACAGCAGGCTTAAACCAGCTTGAAAGTGGCATAGCTCATGCTCATTCTGAAGGAATTCTGGGAACTGTAGTGCTACAGGGCTGCTGGAAACTTTTGGTGTAAACTTTCTAGACCAGGGGTCTCAAACTCGTGGCCCGCGGGCCAATTGCTGGGATGGGTGGGGCACGGGGGAGGGGCCCTGCGGCCTTCAAAACACTGGTGGTGCCCAGGCCGGCCTCCAGGAGCGACGCGGGATGAGCAGCCCACCACCACCGTGGTGGTGGAATACTCGATGCGGCCCAGCCTCACCCAGACTCTGCTTCCAGCAGCCCCCAGGTAAGTTGAGTTTGAGACCCCTGCTCTAGACTCTTCACAGAAATGATTTTCAGAGTTCTGTGGAAGAAAGCCATGACAATTAAAGATTATAGGGTGGCTCTGCGTAGGCCAAGCGTACATGGGTCCATCTTTTAAGCAGTAAAGTTCTAAGCATTTGTGTATGCATTTCTCTCTGTAAATGGGAATCCTCCCTCCACCTGAATTTCTCAGGACTTTGCAGCTGTTTGAGTACATGAGATACATACATCAATAAGGCTGTGTGTTTCCATACAGGTTAGGCAACCTGTGTCTTTCTTCCATGTTGATTAAGAGTTTCTTATGAAGGGTTCCTAGCTGGGCAAGTTCAGACTGTCCCAAACACATCCAGATTCTCCTTTGTAGATACAGGAAACTAGGAAGCAAAAAGGTGTTGGCCCTCCATCCTCCGCTACCATTTGCTACTCAGAAGCCTCATCGTCTGTATTCTTTTCATTGTTCACATTCCAAAAGCTGCCACAGATCCACTTGCAGAGGTTAGATGTTTGCTTGGAGTAACTATATAGACTGCAGTTCACAATTTCAAAAAGGGCACTAATGAATTTGAGAAGATGCAGGAAAGACTTAGACAGATCAAAATGATGAAATATTGTGTGGAGAAATGCACAGAAGAATGGGGCTTTTTAGTCTGGAAAGCCAATGACCAAGAAAAAACATGACAGAAGTTGAGAAAATGATGAACAATGAGCAGAAAAGGAACGCAAGAGCACTCTCAAACCGTCTTTGAAAGTATGCCAGAAAGGCATTGCAACTATTGTGTGATAACTTCTACAAATATTTTCAGTGACAAATGCTGCTCCATAGCTGCTTAACTTGCTTTTTATAGATACTTCAGAAACAAATTTGTAGCTTGCTGCATTGCAAGATTTGGCGGGGGGGGGGGGGTTCTTTCTTTTGGGTATTGTATTATTGTTTAAAAAGCAGTAAAAAATAACCACTGTTGTTGAGGCTTTCCAGTGCAATCGCATCTATAATTAACAGATTCCTTCCTTCTAACTTACTATCTTTTTATTCTTTCCTATTCTGTATTACAGTGGCATTACTGATTAATAGTCTTTTAGTTGCACCTTAAGTTGTCCTGTTCCCTTTAAACACTGGGGACATGTTACTAATTTCCTCTCATCACTGTATATCACAAAACACTGCTATTTCATTATTTTAAAAATGAAAAAGAGAAGAAATCGGCAATTAAAGTCCCTTAGCAGGCAACATAAATTTAGTATTTAAGATGCAATTGAGATGCTACCTGTTAGTAACAACTCTGCCATAACTGATGGAAGCAACTAACAGCATTTAATGAGGTTTGCAAATGAGCTTTGCTGAATGGGACTTTGTGTGTGAATGTTATGGAACGACAGAAATAGAACAATAGAAACAGAATCACTTCCTTTCCAGAGAAATCAGACTAACTCCTCCTTTCTTATTCTTTACATGAGGATGAAGCCTATATTGTTCAGTCAAGCTTTTAATGGTTACAAATATTGTTTTCTGATTCAATTGTAAAGAATGTTCTGGCTCTGGTTTTCAAGTTATTGTTATGTTTTATTAGTCTCAGTGTGGCTTTATTGAAGTTTTTATCCAAATTTGGAATATTACCTCAATCATCTAGAGGGTGGAAGGACAATGTATATCAGATAAAATAAATATATTAAATGTTATGTTGAACCATTGTTTTAATTCTGCTTCCAGATGCTCATGGGAAAACAAGGCCTCATCGGTGCTAAGGAGCCTTAAGGGGCAACCTTAACATTTTCTGACTTGGAGAGTTCAAATGCCCTGTGAAGCTCATGCAGGAATAGTGGTGTTTCCACTCCTCCCCCTCCTCATTGATGCCTTTTTGAAAAACTGATTTCCTCTGAAAACCAGTGGGTCAGAATTAATCTATGCAAGTTCTTGAACTAGCTTAGATTACTTACTGGTTTTGGAGGGATGTCTGGAGATCAGGAGAGCAGTGGATCTTTTGGATCAATGGGCTCTTCTAGATCAGCCCCAGATATCCCCACCTCCACCCCAGCATTCTTCTTTTTTCCCTGTTTTGGATGCTGAAGTTCTGCTGTTGAAACAGCAAGGACCAAAAAAAAGGGGCTGGGGAGCACCTGTGGGTCGTTCCCTCCAAGGCTGAATTGTCTCCACACCCTTTGAAAGGGAAATATAATCCACTGCATGGCCCTTGGAAGGACCTCCCAGGGAGCACAGTGTTGCAACGTTAGTGTGGATGCAACCATAGTATATATAGGAGGGCTCCTTAAGAGCCACCTTTTTTCCAATAGATGTCTTCCCAGGGAATCTCTTCCCCATAGAAACTATTCTTTTTATGAATGTGAAGACAGGAACGTACCATTACTCAAAGTAACACAGAATGCAGGTTCCAATTTCTATTAATGCACACAAACAAAATTACTCTGCACATATTTTCCTACCTGTCTTATGTCTGCTTGCACTAACAAATTAATAGATTTTATTTCACCCAAAGTCCCAGCAGTACTTTGTTGAATGGACAGGGTGGTTGGTGATCCTAGTGTGAAAGGCTAAGTTCTAACTATTTACCAGGAATAGGGACACTAATTTCCTTAGCTTTTTGTATAGCCATATTTGATTAGGTATTTGCTGGCTTCATCAAGTGACATACATGATGTTTTTGCTCTTCTGAAATACAAGTTTGGGGTGTTAGATAAAAAGTAATTTTAACTGGTTGTCCACCCACCCGGCAGTTTCTCTACATCCCATTTATTTATGTCACTTATTTAAAGAAGAGATTAATAGAAAGTAGATCTCTAGATTTGCAAATACTTTCAGTATTCTGGCCATTGGTCATGACGGCAGAGTCTTCTGGGAGGTAAAGTCCAAACCACCTCCTGCCCACCTGTGATTTAAAGCATTTATTCTTTCTTCACTCTTTCAACAGAAAGTCTCTCAGGTAATTGCTCCACCACATAGCTTTCTCCAGAGCTGATATAGCAGCAGTGCTAACAATAACAAAGGTAAGGGGATCACAGGATGCTGGATGTAATGTGGCAGTAGCAGCACCAGAGAAAAGGCAAGCAAGAACACTACATGTAGGCATTGATTTTAATGTTACAAAGCCCTTATAATGAGCAGCTGTAATGCTGTGTCATGACTTTAATGCAGCCACGCAAGGCTGATCTTCTTATCATGAGTACTATGAAAAAAGTTCCAAGACAGGAGGTGCCCAACATTTCTGGTTTCTCAACAGAGCTGCTGGAGTGCCCTTGCTTCCTCTCTCTCAATTCTATAGTCTGTTAGAGTGGCAGCTGGCTGATGGGCAAACCCAGTGAAGCTGAGTTCAATGTAATGCTGGTGGCTGTCCGGAGTTCCTTCCATACCTGCACTGTAGTGTGATTGAATTCAGCTGATATACTTCTATCTGATTCTGGAACTTGTGTTCCACCCAGAAACCAGATGCAACTGTTGTCCTAACCTAGGGTGTGGTTCAGTGTATGCTGACGTGGGAGCAATCCCTGAACACACTGGAGCTCATTTCTGCATAAACATGCAGAGGACAGCATGCTTAACCTCTCTGTAGATGGCTTTACTAGCCCTCCGACTCTTACTGTGCTATGATTCTAAGTATGCCTCTGTAACACAAAGGGTTACAGAGGTTCACACTAAAATAAGGATTTTTAAAACATGGAAGAACATTCCCAGGGAAATTTCCCCAAGATATCTATTTAAACCTTTTCTTGTTCCTCTAACAATCCATTGAGCATAAGACTGCAAGCTATTCAAACCAGCATGGCATACACAAAAACAACAAGCCCTGAAGCTCCTTGTTTTCAGAGGTCTCTCCCTGCACAACAGGCTATGGAGGGATGCAAAAGGATATTGCTAAATGTTACAATAACCATAATAAAAGGGCTACTTTTGTACTCCCACCAACTGATTTTTTTAAAGAAGACTAAATAAGTTCTCCTGGGAAGAAATCCTACAAGCAGGAGCACAAATGAACCAAAACGTGTGGGCAGAAAACAGTCTAGATCTACTGGAGAATTTCTGGGCAACCTTCCATAAGAATATGTTTCCCAATTGTTTAGCAAAAGCAGCCACGAAATCACCCTTTCCCCCATTATATTGCTGGAATGGGAGAAAAATTAGGTAACTGTGAGTGATTTTTTTGTGGAAGGACTATAGATTTTGATAAATTCTGTTACTTGGAACAAGTTCTTGTGCTCAGAATTCTTTAATTCTACATATATGTCCTTTGTACCTTGTACTGGATGGTGGATCTCCTGTTTCTAGTGGCATGTCCACTTGCATATTGCCCACCATCAAACCCTGAAACCCTACAGGCCATCAGCTAGCTGTCCAGTGGCAAGGCCCCAGGATCTGACGTGATCCCAGTGGAAGTCTATAAGGAAGGTGGTGCAGCACTTGTCGACAAACTCACTCAGCTGTTCCAGTCCTTCTGGAATCAAGGATCCATTCCTCAGGAACTGAAAGACGCATCCATCGTACACCCCTATAAGAGGAAAGGAAATCGACAAGTCTGTGATAATCATAGAGGAATATCACTGCTCTCCATCGCAGGCAAGATCCTTGCATGTGTGTTGCTGAATCGCCTGACTGACCACCTGGAACAGGGTCTACTACCCGAGACACAGTGCGGCTTCCGCAAAGAGTGTGGCACTGTGGACATGATCTTCGCAGCCCAACAGCTCCAAGACAAGAGTCAAGAGCAGAATTGTGAACTGTACACCATCTTTGTGGACCTCACCAAGGCTTTTGACACTGTGAGTCATGAAGGTCTGTGGCAGATCATGTCAAAGTTTGGGTGCCCTGACAGATTCATCC